GCCGTCCAGACCGAAACAAGACCCAATAGAGTGTGGATGGTGTAGACCAGGGGTCAGCAAACCGGTCTGTAAAGGGCTTGCTAGGTTAGGCTTGGGGCTGACGGCGCTTCTCTCGAGAGGGCGCTCCCTGAGGGGCTTCTCGGGGGAGGTGGCCTGTCAGCCCGGGCCCAGCGGGGGAGAAGCAGCTGTGCTGCTATGACCTGCGGGAGGACCTCCCCGGGTGGCGGGAACTGCGAGGGCGAAGGCGAGGAGGCAGTTGCACGCGGAGCGCGTTTGGGTAGCAACAGGTCATGTCGGGGAGAACACAGCTGGGAGTCCCTTTTATTTTAAGGGCAGGGGGCGTCCTGAAAGGGTTTTCGTTATGGGAGCGATGGGGTGTGCGTCCTGTATTTAGAAAATTGCCCAGGCTGCTGTGTGGTGCCTCCTGAATTTTCTCTTGCTGGTCTCTCTCCCCCCCCCCCCCAGGTTCTTTCTCCAGCCGACTGTGATGATAATTGCATTAATGATAATCATAATTAGGGTTTTTCAGGCCTCAGGAGGGCAGGAATGTTGTCTGCCTTGTTGGCAGCAGGATTGTTAGCCTGGGACAGAGCATGTAGGTGGCAAGCTGAACTACTACAGGATGAATGCGTCCACTCCAGTTTTCAAGGCCTAGCTCCTGCAGGAGATTTTGCTGACAGTTCTCAGCGTACACGCATCTCCTACCTTGTCCGAGCTTCCGGAGCCCTTGTTTGCCACCAAATGTAACACAGACCCACATGTTTTTTCTGCAGTTGTGAAGTCCACAATGCTCTGCAAGCAGAAGGATTTTCCCTAAGCTCGTGGCAGTCAGTTGGCCGGAATATCCGGCCTGTCCTGGCTCAAGAGCCTTTCTTTTTCCCACTTAGTGTATGTTAGTGGTCCTCATCTGGGGTGATTGTGCCACGCCAGGGGACACTGGGCAGTGTCTGGGGATATCTGTGGTTGTCACAACTGGGGGTGCTCCTGGCATTGAGTGCGTGGGGCCCCAGGGGTGCTGTTCAATACCCTACAGTGCCCAGGGTGGACCCCCACCCCAGAGGGCGACCCAGCCATAGATGTTGATAATGTCGTTAAAAAAAAAAAACAAAAAAACCCTGCCCTAGAGACGCCAAACATGGGTCCCAGCTGGCAGTACCCTGCAAAGATCCCATCCCTCTTTAGTATTCACAAAAAGGCAGGTAGTCCAGGACCACTGTGGCCCTGGTCAACTCCCTGCCATGCCAGAGGGGAAAATGGGGCACAAGTGGGTGTTTCCTGGAGCAGCTTCTACTTATTCTGCATTCCATACTCTACCGGGGGATCACACAAGCCAGTGTTCATTAATTCAAGTAATTTGGGGCAGGTGTAGCCATCTGAGACGCGCAGGTGCTTCAGGGATGCCATTGGGATGTCTGAGGAAGGAGCATGGAACGGAGGATTGGTAGGTTTGGGGCTCAGGGCAGATGGGACAGCCTGTGGGAAGGCCTGGGAGATACCTTGAAGAAAGCGGGTGTGGCTAGGCACAGGCCAGCCGTCCAGACCGAAACAAGACCCAATAGAGTGTGGATGGTGTAGACCAGGGGTCAGCAAACCGGTCTGTAAAGGGCTTGCTAGGTTAGGCTTGGTGAATCACTTAGTCTCGTGCAACATCATTTTGACCCTGTGGGCTGTACAAAAACAGGTTGTCGTTCGCTAACCCCTGGTATAGACTCCAGTAAGGGTTGAAGCGGGGTGGAGCCCTGGAAAGGGGGCAGGAAGATCTGACAATCAGATATTTACAAAGGTGGGGGGTGCACACGATACACTGGTTCACAGGGTTGGAGCTGAGGTCAGACTGCACCGGTTTGAATCCTACCCCTGCCACTTGCTGGCGTGAGACTTGAATCCTCTAAATCTCCGGACCTCCATCTTTACAATGGGGGCCACATAGAAGCCAGAGTTCAGAACTGCGAATCAGTGAGGGAATGAAAATAAAACATCTTTACCCTGAACACTGCACAGCAGTTTAAGCGGCAGCTGTTTTTATAGACCACGGTCTCTTATCCAAAAACTCTTGGGGCTAGGGACGTTTTAGTAATAAGGAATTTTTCCTATTTTAGGAAAGCAATACAGTATAAATGTCACATTACATCAAGGGATGTCAGGGGTAGCACCCTTTAATCAAATAAGTTAACTCAGACGGAGGTGTATACCAAATATCCACCCCAGCACTGCCGATGTTGCAGCTGGGTCACTGTGGGGGTGTCTTGGGCCCTGGAGGGTGTTGAACAGTATCCCCGTCCACCTACCCCCCCACTTGATGCAGTAGCATCGCTCTGCAGTTGGGACAAGCGCAAACACCCTCAAAGATCATCCAGTGTCCCCCAGGGCGCAGAATCTTGTGCTTTAAAGGATCAGTCACCCTGTGCACCCCCACAAAGCCCTTGGGCCTTGCCTGCCTGCATGGGGAAACCATGCTCCTGTCCTTGCCCTCCAACCCCTGGTTAGTCTAACCCTACTTCTGTCCTTGAAGCACATACATTCAGTGTGGGGCTCTGTCTTCTCTGTTCAGCCTGTGCAGGAGATGCCCTGGACACAGCGGCCCCGTGCTCCGTGGTGAACTACCTAAGATGGGACCTGAGCGCCCAGCAAATAGGGGAGCTCACTGTGGAGCTCATTGAGCAAACTAAGCGTGTATATGACCAGGTGGGCTCCCAGAAGTTTGAAGACGTGTCCTATGAGAGTACCC